CAGGGTTGGACTAGTGGTGGAGTTTCAGATAATGAAGATTTCATGGGTAAGATTACGAATTGTCGGAGGTCAATATCTCGGTGGCGTAAGGAAATGTCGGAAGATGAGCGGAAATCAATTGAGGACATTAAATTGGAGTTGGCAGAGGCTCAAAAGGATGACACAAAATCACCAGAAGAAATTAAAGAATTAACTTTACGGTTACGTGCGGCATACCAGGATGAAGAGGAATACTGGCACCAAAAAAGTCGCAGCCTTTGGATGAGAGTAGGGGATCAAAATACAAAATTCTTTCATGCACAAACAAAACAGAGGCAAGCTAGGAACAGAATTGTCGGCCTATTTAATGAAGCAGGAATGTGGATTACGGAGGATACCGGTATCCAAGAGGTTGCGGTTTTGTATTTTACAGATTTATTTACTTCGACTAACCCGATGGATTTTGAGGAGGCGTTACAAGACATTCGTTTGTCGATTACGGAGGATATTAATGTTCGGTTAACGAGGGAAGCCACGGAACAAGAGATTCGTACCGCATTGTTTCTTATGCATCCGGAAAAGGCCCCGGGGCCGGATGGAATGACGGCTTTGTTTTACCAAAAATCATGGGAGATAATCAAGGATGACCTGGTCCTATTAGTGAACTCTTTCTTTCAAAATGATTCTTTTGATAATAGGTTAAATACCACAAATATATGTCTTATTCCTAAGACGGAGAGACCGACAAAAATGTCGGATTTAAGGCCTATAAGCTTGTGTAACGTTGGTTATAAAATTATTTCTAAGGTTCTCTGCCAGCGGTTAAAAAGGGTACTCCCGGTCTTGATCTCCGAGACACAATCCGCCTTTGTGGAGGGACGGTTAATATCAGATAATATTTTAATAGCCCAAGAAATGTTTCATGGACTTCAGACAAATCCATCATGTAAAGGGAAATATATGGCAATTAAAACGGATATGAGTAAAGCGTATGATCGGTTAGAATGGCCCTTTATAGCAAAGGTGATGGAGAAAATGGGATTTTGTGAGAAGTGGATTGCCTGGATGATGTGCTGCATCACTTCGGTACAATATCGTGTCTTACTAAACGGCCAACCACGAGGTTTAATTATCCCGGATAGGGGGCTACGCCAAGGGGATCCATTATCGCCTTATCTTTTCATCTTATGTACAGAGGTATTAATCGCCAATATTAGGCGAGCGGAGGCCGCTAAACTTATAACCGGAATCAAGGTTGCAAGGGCTAGCCCTGCGATTTCTCATTTACTTTTTGCGGATGACAGTCTTTTCTTCTGTCAAGCAAAGAAAGAGCAGTGTGAGGTTATCCTTGGTATTCTTAAGCAGTACGAAAAAGTCTCGGGTCAACAAATCAATTTCACGAAATCGTCAATACAATTTGGTCATCTAGTGGAGAATAATGTACGCACAGAACTAATGGCAGTGCTTGGTATTACAACTTTGGGCGGTATGGGTTCGTATTTGGGGTTACCGGAAAGTTTAGGAGGGGCAAAAACTAGAGTTTTTTCCTTTGTTCAGGATCGGCTTCAATCAAGAATAAATGGTTGGTCGGCGAAGTTTCTGTCCAAAGGGGGTAAAGAGG